AACCACAAATCCCATTTAATAATGGATCTCTATCAATAAGTAGCTATGTCATTTTATGGTTTATGTCCAACATGAGTTAATAGCAAGGACACTTTTGTAGCTGTTCCACATTAAAGACTAACCTGAGTATTGCCTGTAAGACAGGAATCAAACGCTTGCTTATATGTGGGGAACATGGCTAAACATTCCAAATGACAGCACTTAGTCTTGGAATGGATAAATAATTTTGCAGTAATTTTGCTAATTGTTGATCAATTTATCTGCTTAGTTTCAGCGTAGGTCTCTTCAGACTAATTAAAATGTAAAATGTTTTATTGTAAATTCCTGACGCTCAGTCCTGGTTCCTTTATGCTACAGTATTTGTTTGTTACAAAGAATATGTGCGTTTAGAAATGGCATTTGTCCAACACATCTACTTACTGGCTCTTATTATAAAATGTAACTCCATGTTAGCATTGCTTTTGAATTACACAGTTTATTCTTATTTTTGGGATCTGGAAATCCTGAGGGTTTTGTTTTGGTCCCGTGTCCCCACCCCCCCCTTTGAGTATGCTGACACAGTGTCAATAACTTAGCCGTTGGGTATTACACAGCTGGGGCAGAGGGAGAAGCATTGAGGTGCTCTGTAAACTTTGAGCAACATGGTAGAAATCAAAGTGAGTGAATAAAACCCTGTTATCCAACTTGTGAAAGCATGAATCAGCTAGATGGAGCTTGAAAGAGGATTTGCTGCTGTTGGAATATTCCCTTCTCCAGTGGGCGTCATGCATACTCTCCAGGTTCTGCATGGTGCAGGAGGCAGCTGAGGACCCTGAATTTTTGTGTTTTGAATATCTGTTAATGTGTCTTATAAGCAGGTTCTTTTTATTCTTCAGGAAAATACAGTAGTACAGACTCTACCAATTGGTTTTAAATTGACACAGGGTTTTCAGAGCAAGACAAAAATACATGTGTGTAGTCTGGATTCAGTCCAAAGCATCTTTACCTCTGAACTGGTTTAGGCCAGAGAGACAGGATGTTCCACAGAGCAAAAAACCATGTGATTAAAGAGTGTGAACAAACAGAGAGTATATTATTAACAAAACACCAGCCTGCATTTTATGTTGGGTTTTCTGGCTGGTGACCCATGGAGTTGACTCAAAAAGTTGAGAGAAACGAAGGTCCAGTCTGTTCTAACATGACTAATAATCACAAAAGATTCCCTGAAGCCTTTTTCCTGAATGGCCGTCTTAAAAAGCAGTTCACGCTGGTCCTGACAGTGGTACAAATACACCACAGTGAGAGTCTGTGCTCAGGACCATGTGCTGAGGGAATGTTATGGCATGTGCTGTAGAGGGGTCTTGCCTTGATTCACCATGGTCTGCATGTCTAGCCGTTGGGTTCCCTGTTGTCTCCAGGCTCCTTGTGCTGTTGACAACACCTTTCATTTCTCCCTTGCACTCTGACTCACAGGTCTGTCAGTGGCGTTCTGTCTGTCCTACCTTGTGGCCCCTTCTATTTTCAGGATGTGGCTGCTATCTCTGCATCCTGATCAGCAGCTGCCTAGGCCATGATCTGTACGGGCAGACTATGAGTCACTCTGCTTTGTGGCAAGGGTGTAAGTAGAAGAGGCACGAGGTGAAGGGCATATGGTGTTTGGAGACTTGTGGAGCACTTGACTAGCAGCTGACAAGAAATTTTGTTCATAAGCAGGTAGATAAAATGGAGTAGTCTTGGCTGGTCATGTGCAAGGAAGAGAATCGAAAAAACCTGAACCTTTTTTGCAGTTGTTGGTAGCATTGAGGGATTCTGCTCCTGGGAATTTGCATGCCTTTGACCCCAGAAAGCCTGAAGAGGTCCATCAATCTTCACCGTGTAAAAGTTTCTTCAGGAAATTAAATAAAAAAGTGTCAGAACTGCTGTGTCCCATCCTGTCCCTATTGCATGCCGTCTCCTGGGAGGCTGCACTTCTCTCCTCCTCCTCTGTTAGCAGAGGGCTGAGGTGCCAGTGAGCCTGTGAATGTGTGAATCCTGGTGGTGTTTTACAAAAACTTCTTTCTGCTCTCTGGGCAGTGTGTGGGGATCTTGTGAAGGGGAGCATCAGGCCCATTTGCATTTATTTTTCACAGAAGGTTACTTCATTACAGATGGACTTAAGTATCCTGGGTTTTCCTTTTTGTGACTTCACAAATGCTATCAGTTTTTCCATTTTCATTTAACACTTAGCCAAGCGGAGAGCTCTAGCTGTAGTTCAACTCCTCATTAGTGTTGCAGGCTCATCGTATTTAACATGTGCTTTAGCAAGGAGGGAAAGGAGCGCTTGGTGCTGTGGAAGCAGTGGGTGTCAGATCTCTGACAGGCAATATGACAGCTTTTCCTGTGCTGCCCACGGCATCACTCAGGAACGTGTCTCCTCCCCCACAGAGATGCCAGCTGTCTTCCCTCCCCATCCCATCCTCGCTGTTAGTCACTCCTCCAGATCCAAAGTAGAAGATATTTTTGCTAACTGTTCCTCACTCTTCTCTGTTAACAAACTCTTCTCTATTATTGCTGAAACTGAGATTTCCCGAGGCACTCTGGGCATGGGGTTGCTTTGAATGCAAGGAGAGGTACTGTGGAGCAGCACGTATTGGAGCTCCGAGGGGAGGCCCTTGGGGTGCCTGCCCGGGAGCGTGGGGTGCGAGCGTGAGTCACGAGCTGCAGAACCGGGAGGGCAGGGGCGTCAGCACCGTTTGTGCTTGAATTGCTCTTGGCCAGCAGCAGGTCAGCCGGCGGATGGTTGGAGCCTGAAGTGAAAGCTTTTAACTCAGCAACCAGCACACAGTTCCAAAAGTTAGTATCTGCATTTCATCAGCGTCTTGTATTGTCTCTCTGAGAAATGGTATTCAACTGCAGGTAATTGGTAGTGCTTCGGTTTCCTGTGGCTTTCCACCTATTCATTTGTGTTGGGTCAGCTCAGCTGCTTTATAAACATGGAAATGTTCTTGAAATCTGATGAGCTTGCAACACAAAAGAAAACCTTAAAATGCTATTAGATCTCAAACACCAGAACTGTGGGGCTTTCTCCCACGCTCTTGTTCAGGTTTGCGTGTAATGGTGAAGTTAAAACTTGGCACTTCTTTCTGGCTCAGTTGGAGAAATTGTTCCTAGGTACTGTAAACAATTAAAGGACCAAATTATTCTTTGGTGCTTGTGTTCTTCAAGAAAAAGACACATATATGGGAATTGGTAGCTGTCAAGAGGAAACCGGTACCAGTGAAGTCAGCTGGCCTAGAAATTGTTCCATGTGTCCTGAAAATGCACTGAAGTTTCACAACAAAATGGCAAACATAACGCACCGTGACCTGTTTTCTAACCCTGGGACGAGATTAAATTTGAACTGGTGACAGGTATCAGAGTATTTGCCTAAGCAAACACGTAAATGTTGTGTTAAGCCTTTTGGAATGTTCAGTCACCCACATCTGCGTGATTTGCATGATAAAATCTCAAAGAATGGAATAGAAATACTTTTCATATGTAAAGTAACAATCAAGTTCTTCCAGAATTTTCTATCTTTATACCGAAATGTTCTGCAGATTTTTCTGTAAGTTAGGTGGAATAAAAAGGCAAATCTACCATATTAAATGCGGTTTTCTGATTGCATCCCAAATACATTAAGCTACAATTGTGTTTCCTTAATCCAAATTTTTTGAAATTAAAATTGTTCTTACTTGGAGTCTGTCACTACTCACGTCACAGCATTTTATTTACAAGCAGAGAAGTTCTAGTTGGAGGCCATAAGTCACAAGTTTTCTGTCTCTTCATCTCTCCTTCATGCAATAGCTCCCAAATTCTTCATGGCTCTTAAAAGTATTCCTATTTTTTAGTAGACAGTTTTCTATGCTGTGGACTTAGAGGTATTTTAGCTATTTCGTGGCCTTTGTCTTCAAAGACTTCGAGAGATTATTTTGTCCCAGTACCCTACTGCACTGGTACTGAACCTTGTTTTACAGCCCAGCATCCTCCCAGCTCAGTGTTCATCCATGAACAAAACTTGGCCACCTTTGACGTAGGTGCTCTGATCAGTCATTAGCTGTGGAGCATCTTTGACCAAATACAGAACTCCGAGCATTTCTTAAGGCCTTTGGTGAAATTGTTGGTGCTTGCAGCTTTCTGGGAAGCTGAGCAGTTTGGCCAGAGTGCGATGGGTGGTCTGCCACATAGTGGCTAGGTGGCAGCTGCTTGCTTTTGGAACGCCCTCCCTCCTCCTGCAAAAAGGGAGTTCCTTCTCCCGCTTTTGGACTGGTGTTGAGCTCTTAGTCCCGAATCGTCCTGTTTATACTTCTAGAGATTAGCTTTCTCTCTGGCCTGTGGAGCTGACTTGTTTTTCAATGACTTGCAGAAACCCAGTGTCAGCAATCAGATCTTCATACCTCTTGTAGGGCTCTGGGGTGCTGATTCACTAATCTCGCATGTTCGGTACTATTTAAATATCGGTCTGAATTGTTGGGTTTAAGCTATGATATGATATGCTTTGTCTTGCAGTCCAGAGCAGAAATAACTATGAGAAATGCTACCTTTTCTGTAGTATTGTTGATGGATTTTTACCTTATGAATGTAGTAACGGACAATCTGATTATTGCAGATTTTTTATAGATCGTTATATTTATTTTTATCCTAATGTATTTAAACACTTCTTATTGTCTGCTGGACGGTGGGGTTTTGCTTAATTTGGTTTTTTTTCCATTCCTCACTGCCCCTTACTTCCATTATCTGTTCCCCAAGCTGGTTATGTACAGTTGCTGCTACTTTTATCTCCTTTCTGGCTTCCATCAATCTTGAATTTGTCAATACCACATTTGGGACAAGTGTTTTCTGATTAAATTCACCTCTTTCGAACTGCCCTGATTTATAGGACCCAACCAAGAAAAGATGTATTTTAAATATAATTTCTGATTGCTGGAGATGCACCTTTTCCTGCCGCGGGTATAGTCAGCAGCCCAAGGTCTGGCTACAAACCTACTTTGTTTCTTGCTTTTCAGGTCAAAGTAACATCCAGTCAGACTTTGCATGGCATGAGGCAGAAACAGGATTTTCTAGCACGGTGAGTACTTGCAGAATCAACAGGCTGATGATTTCTAATGACCAAGAATTCAGGAGACGCTGCTTCCTAAGTAAAAGCAAAAGGGGGTCAGTAATCACCGAGTAAATTCTGTTTCACCTCTACCTGTTTTATAGGTGGCTTCAGGGAGGAATTTAGGAAAGGCGCATTGCGGAATGACTTAATGTGAGCTCTCATGATGATCGCAAGGAGCACTACCAGGGGGAAGTTCACAAATGGTGTCATTTAAAATTATAATATGTGCAGCGAATTAATGATGGTGTTCATGAGAAGACCTTAAATAGCATGTAGCAGAGGATGTTTTTCCCTTTAGAACTCACTGTCTTTGACTTCAATTGTAAACTCTTTTCTCTTTTGTCACCTTGCTGAACACAGACTTTTCAAGCCTCCTTTGGCTTTTTTTGCTTCCACAGCTGAACACAGACCAGAAGTGTCTCTTTTACCAGTTTTTAGTTTGCTGCTTTTCCAGGCCATTTTCATTGAATGGTTCCAGGAAAAGCTAAAAGAGACCTTTCACAGAGTTCCTCTTATTTCGTCTCCTTGGCCCAAGGCAGGATCTAATAACCCTAACTTGCTCTCGAGCATCCTGGCAGATGATCTTAAAAGTCCCCAGTAATAGAGACTCTCATATCTCCCTAAGCAATTCAATAGAAATTTTTGTCCCTGTCTAACTTATAAATAATAAATAAAACAACATGATTTCATTAATTGTACAGGAGCATTCAGGTTTTGACATGGGCAGCAGAGGGAGAGTGCTATGAACTTGACTGCTGTAGCTTCATTTTGTGTTCCGGTGCGACCCACCGTGTGAAAAAGGGCACGATTAAGGTATGTGTAGTTTGTTGCAATAATGACCACCCTGCTTGCCTCTTGGCCCCTGAATTTTCTTTAAGGTTTTATACCATGAAGAATTGTCATTTATTCCAATGTATTTTCCTGATCTTTGCTCACGCTGGTTTTGTGAATGAAAATTTATTTCCTGTCTCCAGGGAGGATTGTTAGTAAAATGGGTGTTACAGAAATACAAATAGGAGACAGACAGGAAAAGGACTAAATTTAGACCCAGATAAATTATGTTCAGTTTAGGGTCATATTTCACAGCAGGGTGTCCTGGTTTCGGCTGGGATAGCGTTAATTTGCTTCCTAGTAGCTGGCATAGCGCTGTGTTTTGGATTTAGCATGAGAACAATGTTGATAACACACCGACGTTTTAGTTGTTGCTAAGTCCTGCTTACACCAGGCAAGGACTTTTCAGCTCTGCCAGGGGCATGAGAAGCTGGGAAGAGGGCACAGCCAGGACAGCTGACCCAAACTGACCAAAGGGGTATTCCATATCATATGATGTCATGCTCAGTATATAGACTGGGGGGAGTTGGCCGGGGGGCAGCAATTGCTGCTCGGGGACTGGCTGGGCATCAGTCAGCAGGTGGTGAGTGGTTGCATCACTTGTGTTTTCCTGGGTTTTGCTTTTCTCTCTCTCTTAGAATCATAGAATCACTTTGGTTGGAAAAGACCTTTGATATCATCGAGTCCAACCTTTAGCCTGACCCTGCCATTCCACCACTAAACCATGTCCCTAAGCACCTCATCTATCCTTCTTTTAAATACCTCCAGGGATGGGGACTCTACCACCCCCCTGGGCAGCCCATTCTTGTCGTTTTCCTTTTCATTACAATTTATTATTATTATTTTATTCTAATTATTAAACTGTTCGTATCTCAACCCACAAATTTTCTTACTTTTGCTCTTCTAATTCTCTCTGCCATGCCGCTGGAGAGGGGGGGATGAATGAGCGACCGTGTGATGTTTAGTTGCTGGCTGCAGCTAAACCATGACACAGGGCATACAGTAGTTATTTACCTTGGAAGGAATAATGCCTTAAGAAACAGACAGAGAAAGTGTATTTACTAATATTGTTTAAAATTATGCCCCAAAGGCAGCACAGTAAGTGCCAATTATTTTGTCTGAACTCTGAGTATCTGTCTGTTTGCTACTTTTTCTTGCAGTGTAGCCTGGGATCAGTGTGATCCAGAAATAGGAGTCTGGCAAAGCCACT